CCATGCCTGAGAAACTCTCATGGGCTTGTTAGCCAGATCTGAATGCCTTAAGGGCTGATTCTGAGGCCAGAGTGCTGTTTAGGACATCTGCCACTCTATGAGTCTGCTGTGTATGCTGCTTCCAATGTTGGATCTTTCTCTCCTTTTTAATTCTATCAGTTAGCATTAACAGACACTAGTCTTGTTTATGTTATTCCTTTGAAACTTAATCTGACCATTATGATCAATTATGAACTTAAAACTTAATGTATTTTCTTTAAAACATGTTTAACAATTTTAAATGATTAAGTTTACCACAAGAATTTTAGTTGTTTTATCTAGTTTTACAAGTGAATTTTAACTATAAATCCATTGAATGTATAAATTTATTTGAGAAAATTGACATAATCTGATATTAAATTTTGTATTCTAAAGAATTCTAATTCTCTTTGATATTAGGTCTTACATCTTTCAGTTAAATGTAAGTGCAATTTTATGTCAATAATCTACTTTTCTTTTTGGACTGAGTTACACACACTTGTAGTAGTTTGATTTTAGCAAATGGTATAATTTTCACAATTATGTCTATAAAGAAGTAAAATATAATGGTGGCAAAATATTAATTTTTACTTACTTACAACTTTTTTAGCAACTATGCTTTATTAATGTTGTGGAAAATATCTGGTATTTTTTATTAAGCTTTTTTAAAACTTATTAAAATTTATTTAGATACAGGTATACTTTTTAAAACAATGGCCGCAATCAAGCTAATTAACATCTCAACATAGTTACCATTTTTTTTTATATTTTATTTATTTATTTATTTGAAAGACAGATATACAGAGAGAGAAGGGGAGAGAAAGAGAGAAGAGATCTTCCATTTGCTGGTTCCCTCCCTAAATGGCTGCAAAGGCCTGGGGTGGGCCAGGGTCAAAACCAGTAATCAGGAGTTTTTTCCGGGTCTCCCACATGAGTTCAAGGGCTCAAGCACTTGGGCCATCTTCCACTGCTTTCCTAGGGATATCAGCAGGGAGACAGATGGGAAGTAGAGCAGCTGGATCTCAAATTGGTGCCACAATGCTGGCGCCATAGTTGCCATTTTGTTTATGTGTGTTAAAAGTATGTAAGATCTGCTTTCTTAGCAAATTTCAAACATGCAACATAGTATTACTAATTGTAGTCATCCTGAAGTAGGTGAGATACCCAGAACTGCATAAATAAAAGTTGGTACCCTTGGACAGGTGTCTCCTATAGTCTTCTCCCTTTTTAGCACTTCAATAAATTACCTCTGCTGCTGCATTTGTTCATTTTGGGTTCAGTTTTCTTAAAATTAAAAAATATTTTATAGTGTTTTTTAAACACTTAAATCATTTAAGATCCATAATCACCTCTAAATGAAGTTTTAATTTCATCTTATTGTTTTGGCATTATATTCTCCTTTTTTAAATACAACATTGTATCTGAATTTACTTTCTATGTACTTTTATACCAAAATAATTATATATGCTAATTTCAAGTACTTTTATGTGATTATGATTGTGTAATATTGTGTTAAAATGCTTGAAATATTTATCCAAGGCTATTGAATATTTGATCAAATTATCAAATTTTTTATGTCTTTAGAAATATTTAATCTTCTTGATGTCTCATTGGAGGGTGAACCAATGGCAAAGGAAGACCTTTCTCTCTGTCTCTCTCTCTCTCTCACCGTCCACTCTGTCTGTCAAAAAAAAAAAAATAGGTTAAACTCATCCACTCAGTTATGTTAGCTACTTATCATTGTATTTTTAGATGTATGCAAAACACCCAGAGAATATTACTGTGAGACATCATTTTTTTAAATTTATGTAACATGGGTACAAATTTAATGTTTTAGGATTTGAAAGCAGCCAGAAATATAGAGAATTTTGTCTATTTTCTTTAAAGTATTACTCATGGAACACACATAACAAATTAAGACAAGGTGGTCATGTGTAAAATTTTTTTAAAGATTTATTCATTTGAAATATTTATTTATTTGAAAGTCAGAGTTACAGGGAGGGAGTGAGAGAGAGAGAGAGAGAGAGAGAAAAGAGAGAGAGAGAAAGAGAGAAAGAGATAATCTTCCATCTGCTGAATAACTCTCCAAATGGCCTCAATAAACAGGACTGGTAAAGCTGAAGCCAGGAACCCTGATCTCCATCCAGGGGTTCACCAAATCGGTAGCAAGGGCCTAGTATTTGAGGCATTTCTACTTCTTTCCCAGATATATTAGTAGGGAGCTGGTTCAGAAATGGAAAACCAGGACTTAAGGCATCTCTCATATGGTATGCTGGAGTCACAGGCAGCAGCTTAACCCAGTTCACTGCAATGAGGCCTCCAGAGACTGTTCACTTAATAGTTATGGGATTATGATGACATGCTTGACTCAGTAAATTACCCCTACACAATAAAAAAGACGTAACACACATATCCACACATGCAAGTAGAAATGTTATATGCTTATTCAGTGTTCAAATCCAGTCTGTTGCAGTAAAAGACTTCTATTACTCACCACACGCTTGCATAAATTAAATTTTGTGTGTTTTGCTACCGGTGGATGGAATGCTTTATAAATGTCAGTGAGATCAAGTTCATTAGCAATTTTGCTGAGGTTCCCTTTATCATTAACAATTTCTGCCTGATTTTTCTGTTACTGTAAGAAAAATATGTTGAAATAACTTAATTGTTGATTTGTCCTTGATATTGCAAGTTCATATTTTTTCTTTAATTATTTTGAAATTCTCTTATTAGTTATTTAACATAATGATTTGTCTTTTGAATGACTTCACCCCTTTTAGATGAGATTTTCTTCTTTACCTCTGGTAATGAGCTTCACTCCAAAATCCACTTTTTCTGATACTATTTTAATTATTTCTGGTTTGTTTTCTTTAATGTTAGCTTGTCTTATCCTTTTTTATTATGTTACCATTTCAGCCTTTATTTTTTATTCATATCAGCTTGTTATAGCCTTTTCAAACATTTACTTTTAACTTATTTGTGTCTTATTTGTTATTTTCTTATAAAAAACACAGAGTTGAGTCCTGCTTTTTTAGAAATTATGACAGGCTTATCATTTAAGTAATACAATTTGAGTACTCATTTAGTGTGATTGTTGGTGTGGTTGGTCTACAGTATAAAATTTTTCCATTTTTTTCATGCATATCCCATATATTTTATTGTTTTCTTATTATCTTTTTTCTCTTCTTTTAACCAATTTTTTAGGTTACCCTCTTTTCTGACTAATTAACCGTTAAGATGTATTCATTTATTTGAAAGGCAGAGAGTTACAGAGAGGCAGAGACAGAGAGAGAGAGAGAGAGAGAGAGAGAGAGGTCTTCCATCCATTGATTCACTCCCCAGATGGCAGCAACAGCCAGAGCTGCACCGATCCAAAGCCAGGAGCCAGGAGATTCTTCTGGGTCTTCCATGCAGGTGCAGGAGCCCAAGGACTTAGGCCAATTTCTACTGCTTCCTCAAGTCATAGCAGAGAGCTTGATCAGAAGTGGAGCAGCCAGTACTTGAACCGGCACCCACATGTGATGCTGGCACTGCAGGCATTGGCTTTATTGGCTACATCACAGTGCAAGCCCCTAATAAGCTGTTTCTAATGCTGTCTCCATCATTTGTTGCTTTATAGTTTGTGACATACCTCTTCAATCTCAGTCAATATATCTCCAAGTGAACTTATGCTTATTCTACTTAATTATAGTATGAGAATGTTGGAACACAACATTTCCATTTCTTCACTCCCTGTTGTACTGCTACTGATTTGTGTTCTTTAAAGATTTATTTTATTTACTTGAATGGCAGAGTTGAGAGAGAGAGAGAGAGAGAGAGAAAATATCTTCGACAACTGGTTTACTCCCCAGATAGCCACAATGGCTGGGGCTGGGCCGGACCGAGCCAGGAGCAGTAGCTACATGTGGGTCTCCCACTTGGATGCAGGGGACCAAACAATTGCCATCTTCTGCTGCTTTTCCAGGAGCATTAGCAGGGAGCTTTATTGAAGAAGAGCATACAGTACTGGAACCGGTGCACATATGGGATGCTGGCATTGCAGACAGCACCTTAATCTGTAATGCCACACTGCTAACATCCATGATTTGTAGTTTTATTTCTATATATCTTAAGTTTCACTGTGAAGTGTTATTATTTTGCTGTAAAATTTCAAGTTTTGTTTAAAGATTTTTATTTATTTATTTGACAGGTAGAGTTTGTCGCTCCCCCTCTCGCGGAGGAACGACACTAGACCCTGCGCTGTTCTTTCTGCCCGGCTCTTCCCGGGTTTGCTGCCGGCCCTCACTCGCAGAGGAACGACTCTGTCCCGGGTTAGCTGCCGACCCGTCCACCTCCGTGGAGGAGCGGCACCCCCCGCCGCTTTCCTTGCTTCCGCAGAGGAGCGGCACACCGCTGGCTGGCTCTCTCGGGGGCTGCTCAGATGTTCCTCAGGTGTTCCTTCAGATGTTCCTGGTGCATGTTGTCTATCTCCTCCTTTATAGTCCTCTTCCACCAATCCCAACTCTGCTGCCCACACGCCGAGCACGCTGCTCTCCTCCAAACAGGAGCAGGATCAGCTCCTGCAGCTTTTCAGTCAAATTGGCGAGAGGCAGCTGTGTAGAAGTTTACTCCTCCCCAGCGCCATATTGTGGGAGAGCAGATGCATAGAATAACTCTTAATTCCAGTAACTTAGTCTAGTCTCAGTTGCTCCCCACAGAGTTACAGACAGTAAGAGAGAGAGAGACAGAGAGAAAGGTTTTCCTTCCATTGGTTCACTCTCCAAATGGCCACAACGGCTGGAGCTGCGCCAATGCAAAGCCAGCAGCCGGGGCTTCTTCCTGGTCTCCCGTGCAGGGGCCCAAGCACTTAGGCCATCCTCCACTGCCCTCCCAGTCTACTGCAGAGAGCTGGAGTGGAAGAGGAGCAGCCAGGATTAGAACTGGTGTTGCCGGCACCACAGGTGGAGGATTAACCTAGGTCACCATAGCGCTGGCTCCTCAAGTATTTTTTAATGACAGGTTTTAAAAATATAAATGAAGTATTTTATTCACTATTTTCTTATCTGTTTCTGGTGCTCTTTTTCTTTCTTATATTTAAAATCCCATCACTGATAATTTTTTATTTGTGCAAAAGCTTCCATTCACAGTTTCTGTGTTAGATTTTAATAATGAATTATTTTAGCTTTTATATGTCTGAGAAGGTCATTATTACCTCCTTTGTTTTGAAAGGTACTTTTAGTGTATAAAATTATGTATTGATATTTTCTTTCTGTTCTTTAAATCATCGTTCTATTGTCTTCTAATTCACATTGTTTCTGACAAGAAGTCCATTGTTTATTTCTCTGTACATAGCATACGTCAATGTTTGTGTTTACCCTGTATGTGTGTCTAATATTTTCTTTTTATGTTTTATGAAGTTTTATTGTAATTTCTTTTGCTAAAAACATTTGGAGATTCTTAGATCTTGGTTTTAGAGTTTTCAACAAATTTTTAAAGTTTTCAGTCATTATTTTTCATCTATTATTTTCTATCCCCATTCCCCCTTTAAAAACTCCATTTAAGTATTAAGATTCATTAAGCTGTTTTTCACCTTAATAATTTTTATTGATTTTTAGTTTCTTTTCTCTTTGTGATTCATTTTTGATTTTTTCTATTGATATGTTTTCCAACTTTCCTGTCAATCTCTTACAAGATTTGAAATTTCATAAATCTCAGGTATGATTTCTTTCTCTAGAATTCCAATTGATTTTTTTACTTCTTCCATATCCCTGGCTAACATGTTTAAGTTCTCTTCATTCTTTGTAAACATATGAATTATAATATTAACTGTTTGAATATGTGTTTCATCTAATATGTATACTATGTTTAATCTCCAAAAGCATTTATAAGCATATACAAGCAATATTTTTTTCACCTAATTCTTTTTTTCTGTCCATTTGCTTAGTAATTACTTTTGGGCTATAACACTAAGTTTTACAATGTTGGGAGTAGGATATTTTTGTATTTCTAAAAATTTCTTGAGCTTTACTCTGTAATACAGCTAATTTCTCTACAAAATATTGATCCTTCATGTCTTGCTTTTTTGGTTTTGTTTTCAAGTTTTAATGACTGGAACTAAAAAGATATCTAAAACTGCAGCTTCTGGAATAATGGTTTCTTCTTGCTGGTCTTGTACCTCTCTTTGAATATGAACTTGGCCTCTCATCAGGTCTTGCATTTAAGAGCAAGTTACCTGCAGACATCTTTGTTGACCAAAGTTTTGTCCAAGAGAATATCCACAGAGTACCTCGTAGGTATGAGGTGACTGCAGTTATATACTTTCACACAAGACTTGATCCTTGATATCTGGGTGATTTTTTTCTTGCACATGCCAGCTGTCACTTCACATGGTAGCAGTCAATCTCAGCCACCTGACCATGGCTATAGAGGCAGACAGATGTGCCATCATTAATGAGCTTCATGATGACGGTTTTGCATCCTAAGTAGCCTCCAACCAGGACCAGCACCACTTTTTCTGGTTCGTGAATCTGATCATTTCCACAGCAACTACTTGGGCCTACAATGAAAAACAACACTTGCTTTTAAACTTTGCCAGGTGTGACCAAGGAAGCCTTTAGTGCCAATGTCACACTGTCCTGTATAAATCCTAACTGCCTGCCCTTGCCTAGATTGCCATCTCTAAATTCTCAGGTTGGACAGAATATCTGGAACCTTCTCTTGTTAGAAAGTCAATCACTTTATTATTTTTTTTTATTTTATTCCTTCCACTTTTATTTCATTCTCACTGTCCTATCTGGTCCACTATCTAGGAATGACTTCCTCATTTTTTTCTGAAGTTTCAGTGTTTTTCAGAAGTAAATGAGAACCCCATTACATAATTTTCCAGAAGCAGAGATCACTTGAGCAAATAATATTGCAGTTCCATATGAAGACCTGGAAGAATTGTTCCATACAGGAAACCAGCCAGTGAAAGAAGTGCAGAGCTGAACGTGGGGCTGATAGTTGAAACAAAGGGCAAATAAAGGGGAAACAAGGGCGTGTGACTGGGACTGTTATGCAGTGGTTGGGAGAGAAGGAGATGAAATGACAACACACTAAGCTGATGTTAAGAAATGTGGGACAATGTACAACTAAAATTAAGCTGTAGCTTTCATTTTAGTAATCTCTCTACTACTCTTTATTGTCCTAAAGAGATGGAATAAATATTTCATGAATTTTCTGGTTTAATATTTTTATTTATTTTATGTGTTTGAAATGCAAGGAGATGGGGAGTTAGAGACAAAGCTCTCATCTGCTGTTTCACTCCCCACAATAGCTGAGACTTGGCCAGGCAAAAGTCCAGAGACCTGAACTCAACCCAGGTCTCCCATGTGGGTGGTAGGGAACCAACCCCTTGAAGCATCACCTGCTGCCTGTCAGGGTGCACATCAGCAGAAGCTAGAATCAGGGGCAGAGACAGAATTCCAACTCAGGCACTCTCATCAGAGAGGTTGGTATTATCTTAACTGCAAGCATAGTCTTAACTGTTGGCCCTGATTTGTTATGTCTAAGATTATGATATATAAGCATAAACTTCAACAATTTACACCCACGCACACACACAACATATAAAGTACAGTTTGGGAAGAAAATTTGCAGTTGATTCTCATATTAGGGACAGAGGTCCTACATGGGGAGCAAGTGCACAGTGACTTTTGTTGTTCCTTTAACAATTAAAACTTATTTATGATGTCAGTGATCATCTGAGGCTCTTGCCATGGGCTGCCAAGGCTATGGAAGCCTTTTGTGACCATAGACTCCATCGGCATTTGGGCAAGACCATAAGCAAAGTGGATGTTCTCTTCTCACTTCAGAGAAGAGTGTCTCCTTCTTTGATGATCCTTTCTTTCTACTGAGGTCTCACAGAGATCCTAGGTGTAGGAATTATTTTTTTGCCACAGAGTCTTGGCTTTCTGTCGCTCCCCCTCTTCGTGGAGGAGCAACACAGGACCCTGCGCTGTTCTTTCGTCTGCTCGGCCCTCCCCGGGTTTGCTGCTGGTTCTTCCCGGGTTGGCTACTATCCCTTCCACCTCCGTGGAAGGGCAGTTCCCCCTGGCCACATTCCCCACTTCCGCAGGGGAGCGGCACACCGCCGGCCGGCTTTCTCGGGGGCTGCACGGGTTCCCTTAGATGTTCCCCATAGATGTTCCCGGTGCATGCCGTCTCTCTCCTCCTTTATAGTCCTCCTCCGCCAATCCTAACTCGGCTGCCCACACGCCGAGTACGCTGCTCTCCTCCAATCAATAGCAAGTCCTACAGTTTATTGGTTGAACTGGAGGCAGCTGTGCGGAAGCTGTTTACTTCTCTCCCAGTGCCATATTGTGGGAGAGCAGATGCATAGAATAAGTCTTAATTCCAGTAACTCAGTCTAGTCCGGTTTGCTCCCCACAGCTTTCCATGCCAGAAATGCTCTCGTAGGCTTTTCAGTCAGACCAGGAAGGCTTAAACGTTGATAGAATCCAAATTTCTACCAATGGTATAAAATAAATATCTTCATATATTTGCTGTGTGTATAAGAAGCTTCATACATCATTTTATAAAATTTGATATCAATGAAATGGTAATACCAATTGTTGTGGACTGAGTGGTGTTCCCTCAAATGAATAGGTTAAAGGCTCTACATTCAAAACGACTATATTTGGACACAAGGCATTTAAGAAGGCAATTAGGGTTAAATGTGGTCATATGGGTTTGCCCAAAATTCCGTAAACTCTGTAGTGCTCATGTACTTACAAGGAGAGGGAGAGTTACTGACACTACAAATAGGCATGCACAGAAGAAGGACCATGTGAAGACATAGTAAGACTTCTGTTCTCAAGCTAAAAAGAATGGTCACGGGAGAAGTGAAACATGCCAACATCAGGGGACTTCCAGCCTCCAGAACTGTGAGAAATAAATTCATGTCATTTATAAAATACCCACTATGTGATATATTGTCATAGCATCAGGAATAAACAAGGACATTGGCCAAGCAAAACTTTGTTAAAATGAAAAAATATGAAAATATTGAACTCTTAATGAATAGGAGCAAACAAAAGAAAGGTACACAATGAAAAACAAGAAAGACAGAAACCAACAAGACAATTTTGCTCTGGGTTAATCTGATATGAACACGAATTACCCCTGTCATCAACAGCAACCTCAGGAAATGAGATGAATGTGAGAGTCAAAGCAATGTAAGTGGTACTAGGTACATCTCTGTAGGCCCAATTCCCTCTTATATATATTTAAAAAACAGATGATTCCTGAGCTGTGCATATTTATTCATTCTCTCGTTTCAATTCTTATCTCTTATTTATATACAGACAACTTGATCCAAACTTTGGGTTTCTGAGATGAATGATCTATATGCAGCAACTATAACAACTCACATGCTATCCTAAACTCATTACTATGTTATTTTCCTCTTTCATCATACTTCCTTTATTTTTGTTTAAGGAAATTTCCAAGGCCTAAACCTTCTGATTAAGCTCAATATTTCTTGTATTTCAATCTCTGTGACACTTCTGTCCATATTAATGTTTTCCTTCTTTTTTTTTTTTTTTTTTTGCCTTCATGGAATTATTTCCAGTTGACATCTCTCCCAGGCTAGGATGCACTTTTTAAAATGTTTTAGATGAATTGGAAATATGAAAAGTGTAAATGAACACAGAATAACAATTTGGAACACTGGAGAAGATAATGAAAGGAGACATTTTAAAATTAAATGCAAACAATGGTTCAGGGAGTACAAACAGAAGCAGGTGGGAAGAGGATGATCTCCAACAACCAGAAGCAGAAGGGGCACTCAGAGGTCAGTGCTCAGAGCGCACAGCCAGGAGAGCAAACATCCCTCTCTGCCCTGGCCAGGGAAGTAAATAGAAAATTCACAAGGGACTTGATCAGTAAGGGAACAGTAAATCAAACTGCTACTTGGAAGCCAAAAAAACCAGACTTTCACCAAAAGAGAGTTTTAAGTTTAAAAATCACATGAAGACAACTGAGGATACATCTATTGAAATTTTCAAGAAATTTATGTTCACATAAAATCTGATTAATTTTTAAAGGCAAGTTCTCTGCCTTTAGAAATAATGGTAGGATTTTGGTTGTTCTTTCTAGATCTGTAACCTGTTGGGTGTGAGTCAACTTCTCTAAACCAGTGTTCCATCAATCAATAATTAGATAACTATCACCAGTCATCACGCTGTGAAACACACACACACACACACACACACACACACACACACTGCAGCAAAGTTCAGTGTCCATTCTCAGAGACTGGATTGTTGAGAGTCTGTTTTTTTCTGGTCAGTAAACCCGAAGAATGCATTCTCTGAGCCCAGGTTTGAATTGTTATTTATAAAGAGTGAAAAGTTATAAGTGACCTGTCCTCACAGAAAGAAGATCTCTCGTTCTGACATTTCTCGGGTTCTCCCCGCCAAAATGAGCAAGGTACGGATGAAATCCAACTACATACTCATTGGTGTGTTTGGGAATAAGGGTAGGACAGTCTCCACACGTCTATGTGCCTTGTGATACCTTATATTTTACCCAGTCCAATTTCCACTGTCAGTTCAATGGGCTATTGAAACAACTCTGATGCATGAAATGTAACAACCTCTGGGTCAGTACCCATGGGCTTGTCAAACATTCTTAGGTTGTCGTCTATCAACTATTGTCCCAGAGCTGACACTGCATGGAAACATTCCTATATATCCGATCTATCATTTTCCTTATCTCCTGTATTCTTGCAATATAATGTCAAGAGAGAAAACAGGAGTTTCTTGTATAGATAATAGTAAATGAGATAATAGATCTATGGATAAAGAACAACCTTTATGGACTATAGACGTAGATCCTCACATTGACATTCAGCATCATCTAGAAAATAGAACGGTATCAGGTCAGGCAGTCTGCAGAGGAGCTGACTGAAAACCCAGGTGGGTCTACGGGAAGTAACAAACAATTGACTGTTCTTTTCCTAAGGTTTGCTGAAGATTCCTTTACCATCATCATCCTAGCCCATCAAGGGATAACAAAGACAGATATGATCTGCCTCCCAAAGGATTTATGAAACCTATGCATAAGTGAGGCATGCAGGAGTAGAACAAGAGAAAATTTTGGATATATGTATTACGTAGGATTATGAGTAAAGCAACAACAAACAACCAAGGGGAAAATCATATATAGGAATTTTAGTATATAAACCAGTCCTGCACACCGCTGGTTCTCATACCTGACATCAGAATCACCTGGAAGGATGAGTGGGTTTCTGATTTGCAAGGTTGAATTAAGGCCCAAGAATGTGCATATCTAACACTCCCTTGTGGTACAGATGCTACAAAAAGACTGCACTTAGAAAAACAACACTGTAGAACTAGAAAACCATTTAGAGATCAATCCAGCTAGCTTAGATGACTGCTGCATATTGCAGATACTGCATATTTTGATGCTCATCATACCACACACACAAACATACACAGAGGAATACACAAATACCCACATTTACACACATACACTTGTGCACACACACACACG